TGCTCCGAGCTGCGGCCATCGTGGCTGTGCTTGTTGGTGGCCGAGGGCAGGATCACTCAGGAGCTGAGCCTGTGAAGGGAGAGAGGTGTGGGGTGTGGGAGCTCTTGGGAAGCTGGTGCTGCTCCGAGTGGTGGAGAAAGGAGCCGTGCTGCCTCTGCCTACCTAGGAGCATCATCCCTTGCAGGCAGGAGGTGGGCAGAGGTCCTGGGGCCCTCTCCCCGCAGCACCCTGCACCGCTCACCACTGTTTCTCCCAGGGACATGGCCAATGCCCTCGTAGACAGGAGCCGCCCGGGGGATTTTAACCAGGCCCTGATGGAGCTGGGGGCAACTGTGTGCATGCCCAAGGCCCCGCTGTGCGGGGAGTGCCCCGTGAAGCAGCACTGCCAAGCGCAGCGCAGGGTAAGTAGGGCCGCAAAATCTTTCTTCTCCCTGCCTCCGGGTGGCTGGGGGCTGCCAGCTGTCTCAGTGAGGTGGCAGAGGGTCATTCCAGGTCCCCTCTGAAGCTTCTTACAAGCCATCCCTGTCCCAGACCACTGCTGCAAGCTGTTCTTGGCTGGGCATCACATCCTGCATCCTCACCGGGTGCCGGTCCCAAGGGGCCACCATGCATGGGGACAAGGGGGGCTGGTGGATGAGCCTGTCCCCGTTCCTGTCCCCCCTTGCAGGTGGAGAAGGAGCTGGCCTTCGCCTCTCAGAAGCTGTTTGGAAAACCTGCCCCAGTGCCTGACGTTGAGGACTGTGGTAAGTGCCTGGGGAGATCCCTGTTGTGGCTCTGGGTCTGGGCCCTGTGGTGACTGTTACACTGGCGTTTGCAGGTGTTGGGGGCTGTCCCCTGTGCCCCCCAGCCACGGAGCCATGGGACAGCAGCCTGGGGGTCACCAACTTCCCCCGGAAAGCAGCGAAGAAGCAGCCGCGGGTGGCGCGAACGGCCACGTGTGTGCTGGAGCGGAGGGGCTGCCATGGGGCCCCGGAGTACCTCATCGTGCAGAGACCCAGCTCGGGTAATGGAGCTGGGCGGGAGGGCATCAGAGGCACCGCATGGCCCCTTCCTGCCTACATGAGGGACAGAACAGCCTGGGAGTGGGATGTGATGTGATGAGATTCAGTGTCCTCAGATGTGCCTCTTGCTGTCTCATGTCCCTGTTGTGCCCCCTCCCTAGGTCTCCTGGCCGGACTCTGGGAATTCCCCAGCCTCCCGCTGGCTCAGGGTCTGCCGGAGGAGAAGCAGAGGGAGGTGTTGGCAGATCACCTCCAGGCCTGGATGGGGCAGCCCGTGGCGGCCAGAGGCCTATGGTTCATCGGAGAGGTGAGCCTGGAGCCAGAGGCACGCAGTGTGAGCCTCCTGTGCTTGGCCGCGGGGGACATAGCATGGGGGGAAGAGGGTCCCCTTCCCTGCTGTCACCCCTCCCAAGCCCTGCCCCGCTCCGCTCCTCAGAGCCCTGGCAGACTCGGTGCACTTGTGAGGCAGCAGTGCATCCCCTGCTGCCTGCCCATTTCTGTGTTTTTCCCATCCCCTCACAGGTCGTCCACATCTTCTCTCACATCCACCAGACGTATGTGGTCTACTCCCTGCCCCTGGATGGGGACATGACCCTGGACCCTGCCTTGTCCCCCTCCCGCTGGGTGACAGAGGAGGAGTTTCATGCCTCAGCTGTGTCCACAGCCATGAAGAAGGTACTGGGGGGACCTGGGCTTTTCCTCCTTTCCCTCTGTCTCCCTGGGGTCCTGGGCATCCCCCCAACCTCTGTGGGCTGTCCTGGCTCCAGGACCCGGCTGCAGTTCAGCTCTGGGCTCTCTTGTGCTTCCTTCAGGTGCTGAAAGCGTGTGAGAAGCAGCGTGGGAAGGAGAGCAGCCCTGGCAAGGTGGGCATCACTGGAGGGTGTGCGGTCCTGGGAGCTCCTGTTGCTGTGGGCCAGGCCCCGGTGTGCGGTGCTGGAGCCCTCCTGGGCTTTGGGGTCAGGCTGAGGAGCAACCCGAGCCTGGGGCAGGGCTGCGTCTGGGGGATTTGCCTGGCTGGCTTTGCCCCTTGGATGCCCCCAATACCAGGGTCCCCCCCTTGCCTCAAAGGTCATCGCTGGAGGCCGTGGGGGCCCTTGGGGTTTGGCTTAGCCCCAGTGTGTCTCTCCTGCAGGGCTCCAAGCGGAAGCGGGGGGTAAAGCCAAATGGAGCGAGCAGCACCCGCCCTGGGACGCAACTCTCCCTCCGTGCCTTTCTCCAGGCACCCACCTCCTCGTGATAGCACCTTTCACATCTGAGACCACTGGAGACCTGCGCTGCAGTGAGTCCTGCCCGCAGCGTCGGGATGGCGTCCCCCACGCTGCTGTGTGCCCGGCCCGCAGCCCTGTAATAGCCTCCCGCTCCGCCTTGCAGAGTCCGGGGGCTTCCCCAGCCCTCCCGTGGGACTTGTGCCTTGATGGGGCCAGTGTGATACTGGATGTGACCCGGAGCCAGGCTTGCCCTCTGTGCTCACCTGGAGCCCTCCTGGGATTATTTGGCTCCATCCAGCCACCACTCTGGCATCGTGGCCTCGCGGCAGCAGGGATTTCTCTCCAGGAGAAAGGCAGCAATGGTGGATGCTGCTCTACCCTTCCTGGCCTCCAGTAGCCCTTTTTATACACTTGTTTTTACTGAACCTGAGTTCACAGGATTTCTAGTAATAAATTTAAAGCGTGTGGGGGTTTTTTAAGTGACTTTCTACCTCAGTTGCACTGTGCTAAGCTGGGGCTGTCGGGCAGCCTGTGGTCGAATATGAAGATGGCTGGGGACAGCAGGCCTTTCTTCGTTAATGCACCCATGAGCCCCTTGACTGAGCATTAACTACTGGCGACCCTAAATAAGGCACCTAGGGCATCTCTCCTGCGAGGGCAGGGATCAGCCCCTGGGGACTGCACAGCTCCTGCCTCTGGGCAGCTCCTCTGTGGGGCTGGGCAGCCATCCCCTGGGCTTTTTGTAGGGTTTTATTCCCCCTTTTTCACCTCTTCTGTCAGGCTGGTTCCCCACTGTGTTCACAGCGTGGCTTTCCCTTACTGCGATGCACAGTAGCACCCTTGCAGAGGCACAAGCCCGGGAGGCTCTTTCCCAGGGGCTGCCAAGAGTTTTCTGCTTCCCCAGGCTTGCGTCTTTGCCTGGGGCTGGCAGGGACAGGGGCCAGTCCTGCGGGGGTGCACAAGGGGCAAGTGGCCTCAGTTTAGGGACTGCAGGACTGGGGCCAGCCTGCCTTGAGGGGTGGGAAGGGCCCTTTCAACCTCACCCGGAACTCTGGCAGATCTTAAATGTGAGAATAAAAAAAAAAACCAAAAACCCAAAGCAGTGCTTGCAGGTTAATTCTTTAATTAAGAGGAACAAGAGGCCATCACTTGCCCCGCACAGTGGTTGGCCATGCTCTGGGTGGTAATTGTTGATGAGCTGTGGTGGCCATGGCCCCCAGGTTATCCACTCCCCTCTGGCAGCCCTCATCCCCTGCATCTGGGGGTGTTGCTCTGACAGCAGTGCCCTTGGCCATGCTGCAGGTACAAGTCTGATTAGATCAAGATTAAATAAAGGCAGAAAGTTCTTCACATGAGGCTGATAACTCACTAGGAACTCTGGGAGGAGGACAAATCACCCTCCATCCCGGGGGATACTCAGAGCCCCACTGGACCTGGCTCCGAGCAACCTGCTGTCATGCTGAAGCTGGCTCTGGGTTGACCCGGAGACGTCCCTTGGTCCCCGCTGAGCTGGGCCATGCCGCAGGCACCTGCTGGTATCTCTAGAGCGGTGCATCACCCCAGGGTTGGACCAGAGAGGACAGGGAGCTGAGGGAGGAGGATTGCAGTGTTGCCACTAATGCTGCTTGTCCATATAGACCTGCACAGCTTTCCACAGTGCCTGTATATTGCCTTCCCCAAAGCCCGGTGCTCCCCGCCGGTCAATGAGCTCCAGGAAGAAGGTCTCCTCAGAGAAGATGGGATGGGTGAATATCTGCATCAAATACTCCTGGGAAGGGCTCTTTGTGGCATCAGTGCCTGGTCGGCCCTTGTCCCTGGGCACCGTGGCGTCCAGCAGGATGCCCAGCTCTGCCAGCGTGTGGGGGTCCTGCCCGGCCCCCTGGATCTCCTCTGCTTTGCCCCCCTGGCTGTAATAGGCAGCGGGGGGCGTGAAGAACCGTGCTCCCCCCTGCTGCAAAGCCCCGTGGTTGTGGCGACGATATCGGTGGTGCAGAGGCCGACGTGCTGGATCCCGGCCCCACCGTGCTGCTCTAGGAAAGTGTCAACTTGGTTGGTGACATCCTCCGAGAGGGACTCGGCAAGGATGAGCTTGCAGCCATGTGCTTGGGCGCTCTGCAGCGCGAGGAGCAGCATGCCCACCCCCTGCCCACCAACCATGTACCCCTCGGCCGGCCT